TATATATAATAACAAAGATAATAGTAATAATTTGAATTCGATCTTGGAGGGACACGAAAGTCGGTTCGCGAGCTTCTTCTATCATGGATTGGAACGGTAATCTCCGACTGCCTTTCGCTTCTCGCCCGGAAGCTTCTTTCGGCTTTCTCTACAACTATAATAACTATGATCAGTTTCAAGGTTAGTTAGTTCACAACTATTTTTCATCATCTTCTTTTTTTTCTTTCTTTTTACTTTTTAATTTTCGTTTTTTCGCTCTTCGATGTTTTGATGCTTCAGCAAAAGCTTGTGTATGAATAATTCCTTAATTTAGAGCTACTGAAATTTCATGCAACCAAAAAAAAAATAAATAAATAAATAAAATAAAACTAAAAAAAATATACATTGATTAATAAAAAAAAACTGGTTCACTAGTTATTTTGTTATATTCATTTAACATTATGTTGTACTTTGCTGCACCTTATACATCATCATCATCAGTACCATTTTCAGGTTTACCACCTTTCACAATCACACTCTTATTTTCCACCAATAATAATTAATATATTGAACTATGCTTCCTATTTTTTCTTTTTTTTTTTTTCAGGTTTTGATCATACAAAGCAGCCATTAATGCCGAGCTCGGCTCAGCAGGCAATGTTACCGACCGGCATGCTCGACCAGAAAAACATCAACAACAACGGCAACAATATGAACCTTATTTACGGGCAGGACCCGAAGAAAAAACGGCTAAGCACCGAGCAGCTGGAATCGCTCGAGAACAGCTTCCAGGAAGAGATTAAGCTCGATCCGGACCGGAAAATGAAGCTGGCTAAGGAGCTCGGGCTGCAGCCACGTCAGATCGCGGTCTGGTTCCAGAACAGGCGGGCCCGCTGGAAGGGAAAGCAGCTCGAGCGCTTGTACGACGCGCTTAAGCAGGAGTACGATGCCGTGTCCAGGGAAAAGCACAACCTCCAGCAGGAGGTACAATAAATTAAACAAAAATTAAATAACAAGAAAAAAAAAAAAATAGTACTTTGTTTTAGAATTTGCAAATAATTTTATATTTTATGAATGTCTAGCATGTATTTATATCCATTTATGAATGTCTAGCATGTATTTATCACTTGGATGTTCTTGGGGATTTTATAATAGATTCATTAGTAATGGCTTTCTATATTGGCCCTACTTTTCATTTATTATAATTTCTATAATTAAATATATCTTGATGTCAATAAATATATATTATTATTATTATTTTTAAAAAATAAAATAAATAAATAAATAAATAAATAAATAAAAGCATGTCCCCTGAACAAAGGGTATCATAGTTCATAAAAGGTAGAAAAAGATTATGAACTTTTTTTTTTTTTTTTTTTTTATTTTTTTTTTTTATCCCAACACAAAACATCACTTGTCATTTTCATACAAAAGATCTCTAATTTACACTCTCAACACCTTTTTTTCTGGGTTTGTCTGTTTGCTTATACACAAAAAGTAGACATGCATAATGATTGTATGTTGCAGACAAATAGCACTTGTTCATTTAATTGTTCGTCAAAGCTCGTATTGGAATAGTATAGCAAACGAACTTAATTACTGAAATTGTTCGATTAATTCGAGACTAGCTCGTTCAAAATAGTCTTTAATTATATTAGCAAATTTTCGAAATTTTCTAGGTTTTGGCTCTAAGGGCAATACTCAAAGATCAAGTGGCCAAAAAACAAGTCTCGACCAACTACACGGAGGTTTCCGGAGAGGAGACGGTCGAGAGCACGTCAATGCCGAGCTCCGACAAGACACGTGGGCCCGGGAACGTGAACGAGATCGGAGAATGCAGCTACGTTCTTAACGTGGAAGACTACAATCCGGTCATGATGACTCCATACAGTTGGGCAAATCTGCCATAGTTAATTAATTAAACATTTTCATTAATTATGTTCTTGATTAGTTGAGTTTTTTCTAATAATTAAAATTAGTGGCGCTGCTTGATTTGTTGTGTTCATATCATATGTGAGTTTAGTTATATTATGAAAGACATTTAATTAGGTTTGTGATGATGGCATAAATTCTATAGCTAGGCTCTAAGAATATGTCTCGCTGGCTTGAATTTATTATTATTATTATTATTGTTATTTCAAGAACTTTTGGTTAATTATATTTTGCTTCTATTTATATATATATGGTGTGATTTTGGTGTTGATGTATGTTATTTATTTAATTCTATGGTAAAAAAAATTATTATAAAATAACTTCATGAATTAGAGATGTTAAATGAAATGATCTGCTTTTGAGTTCGGCTAGTTTGATAAACGAGTCAAGTTCGAAATTATTGCTTACAAGTCGAGCGTGGCTCGGCTATCTAAGGCTTAAGAATAAATTTTTATATAATTTTCAAATATATCCTAAACTATGAAAGTAAAACGACAACAATTTTTATGAGCATTTCATCACCGGGCCTTTGAACATAGAGTGGGTTGACCCAATAGGTATTGAGCTGTGTGCTTCGATAATTGAAGTGCTCTTAATTTAATCACATGGCAATAATTTTATTAATTTTATTAAGAACAAGAAAACAACTACGCAGACCTAGTTTACTACTTACTAGTAGTTAATTCTCACCCGGCATTGAGTTATTGATCTAATTAATAGTGTGTTTGCCTTCAAAAGATGTTGAATTATTGTATGGTGAATGGTAATTATTTCAGTATGTTATAATGTCTAGAAGTTATTTTTTGACATATCATTAAAAAATTTGGTCCAACTCGTATAAGAGCATCTCCAATCATGGGTGTGAATTGCAGTCTACGAGACAATTAAATGGAAGGCTTTCTCTCCACGTCGACTGAATGGACTAAAAGTCACTCTCCGATGGCTGATGTCTGTACATATTAAATATCTATACACGTTTTTTTTGTTTTCTTTTGTTGTTCCAAAAAAAAAAAATCTTTATCGCCGAACAAACTTTGAACCAATCACAATATTTACATACACGGACTTGTTCCTTTTGTTGTTCTAAAGAATGGATACACAGACTTTTTCCTTGTCGTTTTAAAAAAAAAATGGATACACAGACTTCTTTCTTTTGTTGTTCTAAAAAAGTGGCAAAAAACTCGAGTCGAACAAATTCAACAACATGAAATCATAATATTTTCAACCATATATATTTTTATATTGCACCATTCGTCAATTTAATTCATAGTTTCAGAGTGAATTTTATTTATAAACAGAGTGAATATAGACTTTGGCCCCGTTTGGAAGATAGCGGATTGAAGATAAATTAGAGGATTGGACTTAATTGAGAGGTTTGACCCGTCAAATCCGCTATTGAGACTGTTTGGTAAATAGCTTATTTGATAATCTTTTTCGGTCCAAAACTATAATTTAGAAAAAAGCTCATTAGAGCAGCGTTTTGGGGATAGAGGATTCACAAAATCATTTACTTGGAACTTTTTAATTTGTATTATTTTTTTTACAATCTATATTGGTTTATGGTGCTAATAAATAATAATAAGTCATACATATGAATAATTTATCTAGAAAATGTAAAATTCATAATTACTTCATCAAGTGTAAGTAATTTTTTTTTTTTAAAAAAATATGTATTTATAAATTTTCAACTAAAGAGTATTAAATGTTTTAATATATTATTATTAAAATAATACACCCTAAACAATAAAATATCCTTATTGGTCATTTTGCAATGTCAAACAGCTATAAACTTTCAGCTATTTACCAAACACATATTTTAAAACCGCTAATGCAATTCCTGGTCAAATCAGTTAATATAATCCGCTATCCGCTGATACAATCCGCCATCCGTTATCCGCTGATCGCAAAACAAGGCCAAAGTATGCCTTCATTTTGAATTTCGCTATCACCCATCTACATATTCATCCGTATTTTTTTTTTGTAAGAACATCTTCATCGTTGATATTCATCAGGTATCGATAATTTTTTTTTAAAAAAAATCTTCATATTCATTATTAATAAAGTAAAACAATTATGTTCAACCCCATAATTCTAGAAGTACTTTCATAAATAAAGGAAAAAAAAAAATTAGTCATCAATTCTAGAAGTACTTTCACATGTAGAAAGACTTGTAGAATTATTTTGTCTCTGATGCCATCTCATCACTAATAGAAGTACAAAAATTAGAAGTTTTTTAAGAGCATGCTTGGATATAAATTTGTTTTGTTTTGATTGGATTTTTTGTTTGGTTTGATTAAATTTGAAAAAGTTGATATGGTTAATTGTTAGTGGGTACTATTAAAATAATATTTAAAATAAAATAATTAAAATTAAATTAATGTAAAAGTACGAGAGAGAATATGTGGTGTGATGGTTAGTCAAAATTATGTGAGAGTAGATGAATACTAAATTAAGGTTGATGTTGTGTGTAAGAATGATTGGTTGATATTATTTAATTATATTGATAATAATGATGATAGTGAGTTGAGTTAAAGTTGAGTTAAAAAAAGTGGTTGAGTTAAAAATGATTGAAATTTTTGGATTGAATTTGTATCCAAACATGCTCTTACAATCCCACAATTAACAGTCCATTGGAAATGCTCTAAACGTAAAGACCCTTGGGCCCCCAATCTCCTTCAAGTTTGGGCCGAGCGCACCCACACAATAATTAGAT